AAAGGGAAAATAGAGCCAAATGTTGTAATCTACAACACAGTTATCGATGGTCTCTGCAAATACAAACATGTGAATGATGCACACAACCTATTCAATGAAATGGAGAACAAAGGAATTAGACCAGATGTTTTTACCTATAACTCCCTCATAAGCTGCCTTTGTAATTACGGAAGATGGAGTGATGCCTCTCGACTGCTGAGCGATATGATCGAGAGGAGAATCAACCCCGATGTAGTTACTTTTAATGCACTGATCGATGCGTTTGTGAAAGAAGGGAAGTTTATAGAGGCGGACAAATTATATGAGGAGATGATCCGAAGGTCATTAGATCCTGATATTTTCACCTACAATTCTTTGATCAATGGGTTTTGTATGCGTCATTGCCTAGACGAGGCTAAGCAGTTGTTTGAGTTCATGGTTAGCAAGGATTGTTACCCAAATGTGGTGACATATAATACTCTCATAAACGGTTTTTGTAAGGCTAAGAAAGTGGTGGATGGTATGGAACTCTTTCGGAACATGTCTCAAAGAGGATTGGTTGGAAACAGAGTCACTTACAACACTCTTATCCAAGGGTTATTTCAAGATGGAGATTGTGATATGGCTCAAGAACTATTCAAAGTGATGGTTTCTGATGGTTTGCCTCCAGATATTATGACATACAACTTTCTGTTAGATGGACTCTGTAAAAATGGGAAGCTAGAGAAAGCATTGGTGGTATTCGAGTATCTGCAAAAGAGTAAATTGGAACCTGATATTTTCACATATAATATTATGATTGAAGGGATGTGCAAGGCAAGGAAGGTGGAAGATGGGTGGAATTTATTTTGTAGCCTCAGCCTTAAAGGAGTGAAGCCTGATGTTATAACCTACAATACAATGATCTCAGGATTCTGTTGGAAAGGTTTAAAGGAGGAAGCAGATACCTTGTTCAAAAAAATGAAAGAAGATGGGCCTCTTCCAGATAGTGGTACGTATAATACGCTTATTAGGGCGCATCTTAAAGATGGTGACAAAGCAGCATCAGCTGAACTCATCAAAGAGATGAGGAGTTGCGGGTTTGCTGGAGATGCTTCAACCATTGGCTTGGTCACTAATATGTTGCATGATGGGAGATTGGACAAAAGCTATCTGGACATGCTTTCTTGAAACAGTCAATCCCTTGTGAATGCATGCTTCTGTGAGGTTTATCGACCTTTTCTATACTGCTGTTCTTGTGTTTACTTCTCGACCCAGTTTCATGTTAAATCTGTTGTGGTTGTTGAGTGAGTTTCATGGACTCGACTGGTACTGCTCTTTGTTATGCTCCTATTAGGTTGACACAAGAATATTTTCATAGTTTAGAAGTTGTTTACATACTTGTACGAGAGACCCTTTTGGTTTGGTTTGAATTGAGGTATATGCATGGCTTGTCTGATACATTTAGCCTAAGTTTGCTTTTCTTGTGTTTACTTCTCGACCGAGTTTCATGTTAAATTCGTTGGTAATTTTGTGACAAAAATACCCTTCTCAACGGAATTGTGACAAAAATTCGTTGGTAATGTTATGAACTCTTCTCGACCGAGTTTCATTGTTAAAAGTGACAAAAATACCCTCAAGAAAAAAGATTAAAAAAATAAAATAAATTGGTAATTTCATTTTATCAACGGAAGGTAGAAAGAAACTTTCTTTAATTTGAGAAGTACACGATGACGAGATCTTTTGCGATTGCGTCGACGGCAAAGAGATTTGTTCATCGGAATCTTCTTCAGAAAGGTAATCCTGGAACTGCTCCTCCTTCGTTTAGCCATTGTAGTTTCTGTTGTTACTGGGTACGACGAGCTTATTCTAGCTTCAGTGGTGATTACAGAGAGATATTGAGAACTGGGCTGAGTCATATTAAATTAGATGATGCAATTGGTTTGTTCGGTGTTATGGTACAGTCTCGTCCTTTACCTTCCATTATTGATTTCAGTAAATTGTTGAGTGCCATTGCTAAGATGAACAAGTTTGATGTTGTTATCTCCTTGGGGGAGAAGATGCAAAATTTGGGAATTTCACATAATCTCTATACTTACAATATTTTGATTAACTCTTTCTGCCGCCGCTCTCAAATCCCTCTTGCTTTAGCTGTTCTTGGCAAGATGATGAAACTCGGGTATGAGCCTAGCATTGTTACGCTTTCTTCTCTTCTCAATGGGTACTGTCACGGTAAGAGGATTTCCGATGCTGAAGCTTTGGTTGATCAAATGGTCGAAATGGGATATCAACCTAATACAGTTACATTTAACACTCTAATCCATGGGCTTTTTCTTCACAACAAAGCTTCAGAAGCAGTGGCGCTAGTTGATCGGATGGCTGTGAAAGGCTGTCAACCAAATCTGGTTACATATGGTGCTGTAGTAAATGGATTATGTAAGAGAGGTGATATTGATTTGGCTTTGAGTTTGTTGGAGAAGATGGAGAAAGGGAAAATAGAGCCAAATGTTGTAATCTACAACACAATCATCGATAGTCTCTGCAAATACAAACATGTGAATGATGCACGCAACCTATTCAATGAAATGGTGATCAAAGGAATTTGTCCAAATGTTGTTACCTACAACTCCCTCATAAGTTGTCTTTGTAATTACGGGCGATGGAGTGATGCCTCTGGACTGCTGAGCGATATGATCGAGAGGAGAATCAACCCCGATGTAGTTACTTTCAACGCATTGATTGATGCGTTTGTGAAGGTGGGGAAGCTTTTAGAGGCTGAGAAATTGTACGAGGAGATGATCAAAAGGTCTATAGATCCTAATGTCATCACTTACAATTCCTTGATTAACGGATTTTGCAAGCACGATCGCCTAAACGAGGCTAAGCAGTTGTTTGAGTTCATGGTTAGCAAGGATTGTTACCCAAATGTAGTGACATATAATACTCTCATAAACGGTTTTTGTAAGGCTAAGAAAGTGGTGGATGGTATGGAACTCTTTCGGAACATGTCTCAAAGAGGATTGGTTGGAAACACAGTCACTTACAACACTCTTATCCATGGGTTATTTCAAGATGGAGATTGTGATATGGCTCAAGAACTATTCAAAGTGATGGTTTCTGATGGTTTGCCTCCAGATATTATGACATACAACTTTCTGTTAGATGGACTCTGTAAAAATGGGAAGCTAGAGAAAGCATTGGTGGTATTCGAGTATTTGCGAAAGAGTAAATTGGAACCTGATATTTGCACATATAATATTATGATTGAAGGGATGTGCAAGGCAAGGAAGGTGGAAGATGGGTGGAATTTATTTTGTAGCCTCAGCCTTAAAGGAGTGAAGCCTGATGTTATAAGCTACAATACAATGATCTCAGGATTCTGTTGGAAAGGTTTAAAGGAGGAAGCAGATACCTTGTTCAAAAAAATGAAAGAAGAAGGGCCTCTTCCAGATAGTGGTACGTATAATACGCTTATTAGGGCGCATCTTAGAGATGGTGACAAAGCAACATCAGCTGAACTCATCAAAGAGATGAGGAGTTGCGGGTTTGCTGGAGATGCTTCAACCATTGGCTTGGTGACTAATATGCTGCATGATGGGAGATTGGACAAAAGCTTTCTGGACTTGCTTTCTTAAACTATCCTTGAAGTGAATAAGCCTTTTTCTTACAAGTTATTACTTCTCAATGCAGTCCTTATGTTCATGAATATGATTAGCTTTCTGTTATCCAGCATTTTTTTTTTCCTTCTGAATCCAATATTGTTTATATGTTTATTATCTTATAGGTGTTAATCAAATTTGGAAACATTTATCTTTGATTCGTGTATTAGGAACTTGCAAATTGTTAGTTTCTCGTACAGTAGAAACAAACTTGATAACCAAACTATGAGGACCTTTTGATATCTTGCAGCTAATGAAGATGACTGATAAAAGGTTAGTATTAGACGATAGTGTGGTATACACATAAGAAATTGGTAATTTCGAGAAAACCAGTTTGTTTCGGACTGATGATAGTTGTATATACAGTAATCTCTTTGTGCAGTTTCTTATACATTTAACAGAAATAGTAAACCAGTTTCGTATGCAATTTCTTCATCAGCAATTCCCCGGTTTGGCGATTCGCCGGAAAGTTACGATCATAAGCTTGACGAGAGGGACAAAAGGTTCGTCGTATTTTTTTACCGCCTCTCTATGTATTTCTCTTTCTAGATTTGTTTGATTTCAAAGTAATCTGATCAAAATCCTTACCGTCGATTTTCACATATTGCCAGGAATAAATTCGCATGAAACAAATCAGGAGCTTCAAGACTCTGTCAAGGAAAAGTTCTTTAAGGTTTTCTGACTACAACATTCAAGGAGACGCGGATATTGTAGGTTTTGTTTCATTGGTACTGCTTTTTCCTCGTCTCTTTGGTATGTTATCCAATATTTTCAATCCGAAGTGGAACTGATCCCACGATATTCTTCGTCTTCTTGAAAATAGTAATTAAATCTTAAAGATCTTTTGCTTGATCTTTTTGACCGACCGCAACTGCTCGCTTGAGAAGTTTTAGTAGCAGCAACAACAGAGGATTCTTTTTGATGTAGCGACAACTATGTTTCTTTTAGTATTGGGCTATTTCGTTTTATGTCTTTGTTTTCTTAGTGATGGGTTTTTGATGATACAGTTTAGTCCTTTTCCTTCCACTATTGATTTCAGTATATACGGTTGCTGTTGTGCATTGTGTATTTCATTGTCAGGTTAACACAAGATCAGTGGTGAGCATCATAAGAAGCTCTTCCCTTCATGAAAATCTCAGTCTTGGTATGGGCATGATTATTGTTTTACTGTAGATTTGGTTTTTAACCACATTTAAACCAGCTTGAGTTTGGTAACAATCTAAAAGTCGAGGCAAGGTTCTAAGTTAAATGATTGTTGAGGCCTTGTTTTGGAATTTTGGGTGATTCAGCCGAGAAAGATCAACTAGAAGATCCCACAGAACTTATCTAAAAGGTTAATCTCTTCTTACTCTATATAAAAATATCTAACTAATTCCTTTTTTTATATAGGTAACTCTCATCATTCACCATCACAGGGAACCAAGGTTCATCATTTTATAGCCTCTTCTAGATTTGTTTGACTTCATGGAAATTGTAAAGGTTTACTCTTGTTGATTATGGTTTCAGAATAAGATTAGAATTTGCAGTTTTGTTATCTAAAAGTTTTTAGACTAAAACCATCTGTTCTTTTTTCTTTTGGTTAGGCTGAATTCAATTAGTGAAGACTCACATATAATTCTGACTGGATGTTCTATGGTTTTAGCTATAATTTTACATTCATGTTTTTAAATCTGAGTGTGTTAGAGAAATAGTCACTTTGTACATTGGATGAAGTTTGTAACGGATAGAAATCCTTGAATGACAAAATCCTTTTTGTTTGCAGATTTTGGCGGAGATTCATTGGAAGCTGTTTCTGAGGCAAATCTGAGAAGATGATAAATATAGTATCTTGTCAAAGCAATGAATAGTACATTGTACAAGATGCATTCGAGCAATAAATGACTTTGCATACCCTCGTGGCTTTGTTCTTCCAACCATTTTTGTTTGTCATCATCTGATACCCTCACCCAAACTCATTTATTGCTCGCATTCGTTTGTACAATGTACAAACTCAATTGAGAACGGTAAATCTTCGTACTGCCCCCTCCATTGTTTAGTCTTTGCAGTTTCCGATATTGGATGGAGAAGATGGATAAAGAGCCGTGTCTCTGGTTTGGCCAGGCTCCTATATGTTGGTTTTCGTCTTTTAGGTTCTTTGTAGTATATATGCTTTAGAATTAGGCCTTTTTCTTGTGTCACATATTTGAGTTCTATGCGTAAAGACACATCTACTAATGAAAGTTCATTGTCCGGTTTATCCAGACCGGAGTGATTCAATTGAAATTTTGAGAAGGTAATCCTGGAACTACTCCTGCTCTTTGCTGTTTCCGTTGCTAGAGACGATCATATGATTACTGAGTAACTGGATTTGAAGTTTGAGCTTTTGCTGCTTTTAAATTATTAAAGAAGACATTAAAGAAAAGATATGAAACCAAACCGTATAGAACGGAGAGTGAACCGGTCGGTTAGTAAAACTGGAAATGATAAGATATAATCCTGACCGTCAAATCCCAGAAATGATCCAACGGCCATAAAACTGAAATCCGTGACTGTCTTTTTTGGTGGACCGAAGTTAAAAACTTGCGATTGCGTCAACGGGAAAGAGATTTGCTCATCGGAGTCTTCTTCTTAAAGGTAAACTTGGAACTGCTCCTTCTTCGTTTAGCCATTGCAGTTTCTGGGTACGAGCTTTTTCTGGTGATGATTACAGAGAGAAATTGAGTAGAAATAGGATATTACAGGATTTGAAGTTAGATGATGCTATTGGTTTGTTGATGACATGGTCAAGTCTCGTCCTTTACCTTCCATTGTTGATTTCAGTAAATTGTTGAGTGCAATTGCTAAGATGAAGAAGTTCGATGTTGTCATCTCTCTCGGCGAGCGGATGCAAAATCTGGGGATTTCATATGATCTCTACTCATACAATATTTTGATCAACTGTTTCTGTCGACGCTCTCAAATCTCTCTTGCTTTAGCTGTTCTTGGCAAGATGATTAAACTCGGCTATGAGCCCAGCATTGTCACGCTTTCTTCTCTTCTCAATGGGTACTGCCACGGTAAGAGGATATCCGAGGCTGTAGCTTTGGTTGATCAAATGGTCGAAATGGGATATCAACCTAATACCGTCACATTTACAACTTTGATTCATGGTCTTTTTCTCCACAACAAAGCTTCAGAAGCAGTGGCGCTAGTTGATCGGATGGCTGTGAAAGGCTGTCAACCAAATCTGGTTACATATGGTGCGGTAGTAAATGGATTATGTAAGAGAGGTGATATTGATTTGGCTTTGAGTTTGTTGAAGAAGATGGAGAAAGGGAAAATAGCGCCAAATGTTGTAATCTACAGCACAGTCATCGATAATCTCTGCAAATATAGACATGTGGATGATGCACTCAACCTGCTCAACGAAATGGAGAACAAAGGAATTAGACCAAATGTTGTTACTTACAGCTCCCTCATTAGTTGTCTTTGTAATTACGGGCGATGGAGTGACGCCTCTTGCTTACTTAGTGATATGATTGAGAGGAAAATCAACCCTAATTCAATAACTTTTAACACACTGATTGATGCGTTTGTGAAAGAAGGGAAGTTTGTAGAGGCGGACAAATTATATGAGGAGATGATCCGAAGGTCATTAGATCCTGATATTTTTACCTACAATTCGTTGATCAATGGGTTTTGTATGCATAATCGCCTAGACGAGGCCAAGCAGATGTTTTCTTTGATGGTTAGCAAGGACTGTTTCCCAGATGTAGTGACTTATAGTACTCTTATAAAGGGATTTTGCAAGTCTAAGAAGGTAGAAGATGGTATGGAACTCTTCCGCGAGATGTCTCAAAGAGGATTGGTTGGAACCACAATCACTTACAACACAATAATCCAAGGGTTTTTTCAAGCTGGAGATTGTGATAATGCCCAAAAAATATTCAAACAGATGGTTTCTGATGGTGTGCATCCCAATATCATGACATACACCATTTTGTTAGATGGACTTTGTAGTAACGGGAAGCTAGAAAAAGCTTTGTTCATATTCAAGGATTTGCAAAAGAGTGAAATTGAACTTGATACTTACATATATACTACCATGATTGAAGGGATGTGCAAGGCTGGGAAGGTGGAAGATGGATGGGATCTATTTTGCAGCCTTGACCTTAGAGGAGTGAAGCCTGATGTTGTAACCTACACTTCAATGATCTCAGGATTTTGTAGGAAAGATTTAAAGGAGGAAGCAGATGCCTTGTTCAATAAAATGAAAGAAAACGGGCCTCGTCCCAATAGTGGTACGTATAATACGCTGATTAGGGCACGCCTTAGAGATGGTGACAAAGCGGCATCGGCTGAACTCATCAACGAAATGAGGAGTTGCGGGTTTGTTGGAGATGCTTCAACAATAAGCATGGTGACTAATATGCTACATGATGGGAGATTGGACAAAAGCTATCTGGACATGCTTTCTTGAAACAGTCAATCCTCGAGAAACGAATTGCAGAGCGACCATCTTCCCTTGTGAATGCATGCTTCTGTGAGGTTTATCGACCTTTTCTATACTGCTGTTCTTGTGTTTACTTCTCGACCCAGTTTCATGTTAAATCTGTTGTGGTTGTTGAGTGAGTTTCATGGACTCGACTGGTACTGCTCTTTGTTATGCTCCTATTAGGTTGACACAAGAATATTTTCATAGTTTAGAAGTTGTCTACATACTTGTACGAGAGACCCTTTTGGTTTGGTTTGAATTGAGGTATATGCATGGCTTGTCTGATACATTTAGCCTGAGTTTGCTTTTCTTGTGTTTACTTCTCGACCGAGTTTCATGTAAACAATTGCTAAAACCAAATCTGAACGTCTCTGATCTTATAATTTCAGGAACTTGGCCATTAGGACCAAATAAAAATTCATCAGGAGGACACATATTTGAAGGGGAACATACAAAGTGAGATCAGGCTACCATTTGCAACGTGAGAGCTCTCTCAAGCTAACCTGCCAATACAACAATAATCTTCAGATAGAAAGTAGCACAAGCATGAAGAATCTGTTTCATCTTGTTTTGCTAGTGCAGTTTTCTGCATAAGGGTCTTTCAGTTGGCGGTATCTTCACTTGTAGCTTGCTTCAAAATCTCTAATCTCTTAACATAATGTAACATTGGCTGGAGAATATGGAAAATGCGCAATGATCTTTTGTTCCAAGAATCAAGATAGTCTATCCTAGAATCAAAACTTTCACAGAAGCTTCTTGGGCTTGTCTGAATCAAAATGCATAGGCATAGGCTGATCAAAACAAGGACAAGTATACTAAAACAACTTCGTCTATATTCTATATTGCCAACCTCTTGCTCTCTTGAAGCTGAAGCTATTGCAACTTAGAAATGCCAATACTCCAAATGTATTCTTTGATCTTTTTCTTCACCAATCATTATAGACTTTCAAAGGACTCTTCAATATGGAGACGCACTTTAGATTAGCTCAAACAAACCAAGTTTACTAAAAATCATATATGCACAGTTTAAATCATTTTGAACTACCGTGTCCTGTGAATTGAACCTCAGCTAAACCATAATGAGTACTTAATTTGTTGTTCATTAACTAACGAAGAGCAATAAAGATGCTACAAAAACACAGCTGGTTTGATCATAATGTTCTCGGATACTGTTTTTCTGAGATGCTTCCCCTTACCGAACTAAACTTCATGCCAAAGATGGTTGATTCTGGTAATGCAGAAGTTTAGCTGCTCCTGTTGTTCACCATGATGAAGAAGATGAGCTTGTGGTGCCTGTGTGGGATGAAGGTTCTGGCTCCAACACTCCTCCTCATCATGTTTCTAACAGTAGCTCTGACAGTTCAGCAATCTCTTCCTCCTCCCTAATATCTCCACCTCCTCAACCTGTTTCCCCACATTTCCGAGGTGATGAGTTTGGTGCGGGTCGTCAGCCTTCCAGGTTTGAAGATTCAAGTTCCTCTTCTATGCATCATTCTCCAGGTTCCTCCTCTGTTCATCGAGCTAAAGGGAAAGCAAGGTATGAGATATGTGAATGTTCTACTCGTAAGAAAGGAAAAAGGATTGATCTTAACTCTGAGAGAAACATTAGACAGTGTTGTAAAGACAAGGGGGTTCCGTTTTACCCAGTGGATGGTCAACTTCCCTAGTTTGTTTTCAGACACTTAACACAATCAGAGCATAATTTACCCTTATGCTCTGGTTTCTACTGCTTTTTGGGGTAATTCTTACCTTAGTTTTTAGGAAATAAAGGACCTATTTCAGGTCAAACAAGTGGATGATGAAGGATAACTTTTTGGACATCATTCTGATTTAAACTGATGTTAATTGCGCAAAGAGAAGGTTCAGTTTCACAGGTTGGAAGGCTTTCAATGACTTTTTGGAAACTTTCTACTGCTAATCATGGCTGGTATGAAGATGGTGAACAAGCAGCAAGCATAATGCAAGCTTATGTTGGATGCGATAAGATCAACTTCAAGCTACAACGCTTCAATATTTGGCCTTATTGAGAATTGTTATGAGCTTGCTAATACCAAGTTACCATTTTGTTGCTACTCTTTAGTTTTAGAATGTGTTGTATGTTACTTATGTTTTGTAGTTTGTATATGTTTGTTGTACCCTGTATTTGGCTTTCCTCCTTGGTTTCTCCAATGATGGGTGATGGTGATGCAGTTTCAATGTAGTATATACTTAAGGAAAAAAAAAAGAAAAAAAGACGACTAAAAATAAAAGGAGCAATGACCGGTTTAAGAAAACCAGCTGTAACCGAATCGACATTGAACCGACCGACTGCTATCGATTATAGGGCTTATTGGATTCTGCAATTTTGCTGTTTGATCTCTCTTCACTCACTCTCTAGTTTAGTAGTCTCAATTCATTTCAAGGGGAAGCCATTTTCGAAGCAATCAAGAAGATGAGGAAATCTGTTGCGATTACGGGCATGAGATTTCTTCATCGGCACACTCTGGTGAGAGGTAATCCTGGAACCGCTCCTGCTCTTTGCGGTTTTCGTTACTCGGGACGAGGTTTTGCTGCTGCTAGTTATGATTACAGAGAGAAATTGAGTAGACGAAATGATTTAAAGTTAGATGATGCGATTGGTTTGTTCGGTGACATGGTCAATTCTCGTCCTTTACCATCCATTGTTGAGTTCAATAAATTGTTGAGTGCAATTGCTAAGCTGAAGAAGTTCGATGTTGTCATCTCTCTGGGCGAGCAGATGCAAAATTTGGGAATTGCTCATGATCTCTTTACTTACAGTATTTTCATTAACTGTTTCTGCCGACGGTCTCAGCTCTCTCTTGCTTTAGCTACTCTTGGCAAGATGATGAAACTCGGCTATGAGCCCGATATTGTTACGCTTTCTTCGCTGCTCAATGGGTACTGCCACGGTAAGAGGATTTCCGAGGCTGTAGCTTTGGTTGATCAAATGGTCGAAATGGGATGTCAACCTAATACTGTCACATTTACAACTTTGATTCATGGTCTTTTTCTCCACAACAAAGCTTCCGAAGCAGTGGCGCTAGTTGATCGGATGGCTGTGAAAGGCTGTCAACCAAATCTGGTTACATATGGTGCTGTAGTAAATGGATTATGTAAGAGAGGTGATATTGATTTGGCTTTGAGTTTGTTGAAGAAGATGGAGAAAGGAAAAATAGAGCCAAATGTTGTAATCTACAACACAGTTATCGATGGTCTCTGCAAATACAAACATGTGAATGATGCACGCAACCTATTCAATGAAATGGAGAACAAAGGAATTAGACCAGATGTTTTTACCTATAACTCCCTCATAAGCTGCCTTTGTAATTACGGAAGATGGAGTGATGCCTCTCGACTGCTGAGCGATATGATCAAGAGGAGAATCAACCCCGATGTAGTTACTTTTAGTGCACTGATCGATGCGTTTGTGAAAGAAGGGAAGTTTGTAGAGGCGGACAAATTATATGAGGAGATGATCCGGAGGTCATTAGATCCTGATATTTTCACCTACAATTCTTTGATCAATGGGTTTTGTATGCGTCATCGCCTAGACGAGGCCAAGCAGATGTTTGAGTTCATGGTTAGCAAGGACTGTTTCCCAAATGTAGTGACTTATACTACTCTTATAAATGGATTTTGCAAGTCTAAGAAGTTAGAAGATGGTATGGAACTCTTCCGGGAGATGTCTCAAAGAGGATTGGTTGGAGACACAATCGTTTACACTACTCTCATCCAAGGGTTTTTTCAAGCTGGAGATTGTGATAATGCCCAAAAAATATTCAAACAGATGGTTTCTGATGGTGTGCCTCCAAATATCATGACATACAACATTCTGTTAGATGGACTTTGTAAAAACGGGAAGCTAGAGAAAGCATTGGTGGTTTTCGAGTATATGCAAAAGAGTAAAATGGAACTTAATATTAGTACATATAGTATCATCATTCATGGGATGTGTAAGGCTGGGAAGGTGGAAGAAGGGTGGGATTTATTTTGTAGCCTCAGCCTTAAAGGAGTGGAGCCCGATGTTATAATTTACAATACAATGATCTCAGGATTTTGTAGGAAAGGTTTAAAGGAAGAAGCGGATGCCTTGTTCAGAAAAATGAAAGAAGATGAGCCTCTTCCAGATAGCGGTATATATAATATACTGATCAGGACGCGCCTTAGAGATGGTGACAAAACCGCATCAGCTGAACTCATCAAAGAAATGAGGAGTTGCGGGTTTGCTGGAGAAGCTTCAACTGTTGGCTTGGTCACTAATATGTTGCATGATGGGAGATTGGAGAAAAGCTTTCTGGAAATGCTTTCTTAAAGACATCTTTGAGGTGAATCGGATTTTTATTTTACTTTTCTATTGACTAGTTCTTCTCAGTGCTGTCCTTATGTTCTCATGTTTACATTTGGAAATAGATATGTGTATATTCGGTTGTTGTTGTGTCTAAGCTTCATGAATATGACTGATACTGTTCTTTGTTATTTTAGGGGTGAAATTCTTGTGAACTGCAAAAAGGCTTTTTAACTCATATTGAATCTGCTTAGCATATGGTTACAACTGTTTTGGGGATCTTGTAGGAGATGAAAAAAAAAAGCTCACAAATTACAATTATGGATTTCTGTAAAAAGAAAAGCTCATTAAGAATGGTGATTTGCCGCTGCTTCCAGAGACTGGTATATCGCCAACTTTGTTATTTCGAGGTAATGAAGTCCGTACTGCTAAACTCTTGCACTTTATTCCATGATAAAACTTCCCATTATATAGGGTACATGTCTACCTGGCGAAAAAATAAAAGGTACATGTCTAACCAAAATCACGACATAAAAAATACAAGGAAGCTAAACGTTCAAAGCCAAACTCCAGGATATCTAATCATAACAAAATATTGTAAACTTTTATAATTGTTCTCTAACTAGCACGGCTTACTAGAATATTCGAGATTCCATATCTCAGCTCACTTGAGCACCTGATCTGATTTTGAACTCCCCACAGACACGGTTTTCTCCTTGTCCTGGAGCCAATGTTATCCTCTTAACATAAGTTTAACGCACATTCTTTGCTCATATGATCATTCAGATTACTGGATTAACGATCCCTTTGATTTTATGTTAATGGTGTGTGACCTGACCTATATAGCATAGAGTGTTCTGAATTTGATCTACTATCAATTTTTCAACAAATGAAGCAAGTAACTGAAGTTTTGATTTGATTTTGAATGTCTGAGTCTCTTTTGATAATAAACATTGATTGCAGTTTTGGTGATTCAAGGTTTGTTATGTTCGAGAATGCATTTTCGTATGACGTTTCATGTTTTTGACCAGGAGAGGTGTGATGTGTACATGAAAGGCTCTGTTACATTCAGAGAATAGCTAATGGAGAATACTTGTCTCGTGTTACTGAAATAGTATTATGCAGGTCAGTTGTCTTTTTCCTGTCTGAATCTTTCTTTCTTGTTTTGGTTAAGGGTTGTACAATGTTTTGTACAAAGGCAGTGCCTCTAATAAAACATTCAGAGAATTTCTGTTTTTGTCTAAATCTTTCTTATTCGTTTTCTCCTTTTCATTTTCTCTCTAGTCTCTGTGCGTGTGTGTCAGCTTTAGCTTAAAAAGTGTATTTGATTTCTATCTTTTTGTGACTCATGGACTTCCGCTGAATAGCCAACCATTTCCGAGCTTGATCGCACACTTCTCTTGCTTTTCCTCTACAGAATTGCAGCTTTGGTTTGGTTGTTGACAAATCTTTGGTTTTTCTTTATGTGTGTTTTTTTTCCTTGCAGTGATGTTCCCATGGCTCAAACCATTGTACATATGAGCAATTTGTAGAAGGATTTAAGATTTCAAGTACTGGAAATGGACAGTACTTGTATGTTTGTCCAGCTGCAAGCTCATGATCCACAGCGAGTTCTCCACGTTCAGCGACTTGATATGTTTTACTTGGTTTTCGCTTTCTTGATCTTAATAAGATTTGTCTTTATTCTCTGAAAAGAAGATGATCTTAGTTAACTTATAGCTTAGACAGACTAGTGTGCAGGATGAGATGAAATGTGTTGTAATTTTTTTTGTCTAATACTTGATCCGGTTCGGTTCTTGTGACCCAAATTGGTTTATATTGTTTTCTTTTCACAAAGTACTGTAATTACTTTTAAATTTGAAATCATAAAACCAAACAGTACAAGAGAAACCGGAAATGATTGGAAGATAATCTGAACCGTCAAATACAAAAAAAAAAACAATCCAACGGCATTGAAGTGAGATCCATTTTCTTCACGCTAAACCGGATAGAATCAACCAAATTAAATCCCGGTACAAGATCTTTCTGTCTCTCCCGAAAGTTTGAGCCAGAAATCGAGAAGAAAACCTAATCAGAAGATGAGGAGATCGTTTGTGATTGCGTCGACGGCGAATAGATTTGTTCATCGGAATCTTCTTGAGAAAGGTAAACCTGGAAATGCTTCTCCTTCCATTAGCCATTGTAGTTTATGTTGTTGCTGGGTACGAGCTTCTTCAAGCGTCACTGGTGATCTAGCAGAGAGATTGAGCAAAACTCGGCTTCTTGATATAAAGCTAAACGATGCGATTGATCTGTTCAATGAAATGGTCATTTCTCGTCCCTTTCCTTCCATTGTTGAGTTCAGTAAACTGTTGAGTGCTATTGCAAAGATGAAGAAGTTTGATGTTGTCATCTCTCTCGGCGAGCAGATGCAAGATTTGGGGATTTCACATAATCTCTTCACTTACAGCATTTTGATTAACTGTTTCTGCCGACGCTCTCAACTCTCTCTTGCTTTAGCTGTTCTTGGCAAGATGATGAAACTTGGTTATGAGCCCGATGTTGTCACGCTTTCTTCTCTTCTCAATGGATACTGTCACGGTAAGAGGATTTCCGAGGCTGTAGCTTTGGTTGATCAAATGGTCGAAATGGGATATCAACTTGATACAGTTACCTTTAACACTTTAATCCATGGACTTTTTCTTCACAACAAAGCTTCAGAAGCAGTGGCGCTAGTTGATCGGATGGCTGTAAAAGGCTGTCAACCAAGTCTGGTTACGTATGGTGCTGTAGTAAATGGATTATGTAAGAGAGGTGATGTTGATTTGGCTTTGAGTTTGTTGAAGAAGATGGAGAAAGGAAAAATAGAGCCAAATGTTGTAATCTACAACACAGTTATCGATGGTCTCTGCAAATACAAACATGTGAATGATGCATGCAACCTATTCAATGAAATGGAGAACAAAGGAATTAGACCAGATGTTTTTACCTACAGCTCCCTCATAAGCTGCCTTTGTAATTACGGAAGATGGAGTGATGCCTCTCGACTACTGAGTGATATGATTGACAGGAAAATCAATCCAAATGCAGTCACTTTCAGCGCATTGATTGATGCGTTTGTTAAGGAGGGGAAGCTTTTAGAGGCTGAGAAATTGTACGAGGAGATGATCAAAAGGTCCGTAGATCCTAATGTCATCACTTACAATTCTTTGATTAACGGATTTTGTATGCACGATCGTCTAGACGAGGCCAAACAGATGTTTGAGTTCATGGTTAGCAAGGATTGTCTCCCAGATGTAGTGACATATAGCACTCTCATAAAGGGTTTTTGTAAGGCTAAGAGAGTAGAAGAGGGTATGGAAGTATTCCGTGAGATGTCTCAAAGAGGATTGTTTGGCAACACAGTCACCTACACCACTCTTATCCAGGGGTTATTTCAAGATGGAGATTGTGATATGGCTCAAGAACTATTCAAAGTGATGGTTTCTGATGGTGTGCCTCCAGATATTATGACATACAACTTATTGTTAGATGGACTCTGTAAAAATGGGAAGCTAGAGAAAGCATTGGTGGTATTCGAGTATCTGCAAAAGAGTAAATTGGAACATGATATTTGCACATATAATATTATGATTGAAGGGATGTGCAAGGCAAGGAAGGTGGAAGATGGGTGGAATTTATTTTGTAGCCTCAGCCTTAAAGGAGTGAAGCCTGATGTTATAACCTACAATACAATGATCTTAGGATTTTGTAGGAAAGGTTTAAAGGAGGAAGCATATACCTTTTTCAGAAAAATGAAAGAAGACGGGCCTCTTCCAAATAGTGGTACTTATAATACGCTTATTAGGGCGCATCTTAGAGATGGTGACAAAGCAGCATCAGCTGAACTCATCAAAGAGATGAGGAGTTGCGGGTTTGCTGGAGATGCTTCAACCATTTGCTTGGTGACTAATATGCTGCATGATGGGAGATTGGACAAAAGCTTTCTGGACATGCTTTCCTAAATCAGTTTCATGATCAACCATCTTTCCTTTAAAGCATCTGTGAGATGAATCGAATCGTTGGATTGCTTTTCTTGGGATTACTTCTCGATGTAGTTAGGTGAGTTTACGTTTTCATGTTAAAGTTGTTGTGTGTAAGCTGCTTCATGGACAAGACTGGTACTACTCTTTGTCAATTCCTTAATAGGTTGCAAACACAAGATCAACTTTATTGGAAACAAGATCAAAGAGATCATTTATGTACAAGCTCAAAACTCAAAATTGGAACAAGACAAATAGAAAAGATAAATGCAATTTTTACTTGAAAGCAAAAAAAAAAAAAACTTATTCGATTCATCAGAAAGTTTTCAGATTCCCTTTGGAGCCACACCAACGGAGTTCAATGTCTCTGCATTTCGAGGCCTTTGCAAAAACAAAACAAAAATGATAGATTTCAGATTTCTATAAAACGAATTTCTAGTGAGTGTTTTTCTTGAAAACTATAATATGTGAAGAGAGGTCACTGAACTTACGTGGTGAATGGGTTAGGTCGAGTGGGATCAGATAAGATTGCTTTAGACTTATCTTGAATCTGACCTACTTTACGTAGCCAAGACTTGTTGATAAATTTGTCAGCAGAGGAAACACAATTTTCTGGATCATCGACTTCTGCGACAGCCGCTCTTCTGTTCTTTCTTGTACTGATTGCCGGAGCATGCATAAGCTGCTGCTTGATGCTATGTCCGGCCATAAGCACCGCTAAACCAACAAAACCTCCTATTATAGCCACTGGTGCAAACTCTCCCATTATGGAGAACCTGTTTTAAAAATCCATTGATTTCAAATTTTGTGTTCTCTTTTCTTTGGATTTGTTCTGTGTTTTTTTTTTGTTATACACAAAATACATATAATTTACTGTAGTTTTGAGAAGAAATTACTTATCAACTCTTTATGCTTGAGGAAAAAAATGAAATAACCAAAACTGCTAAGGAAACCATAGAAATATAATTTAATATCTTTTGTAAGTTCTTTTTCAAGATCAAGGAAAAAAGTTTATTTTTAAGATTTAATTTCATACTTGGTTCGTTTTCTTCAAAATATGAAACGGACAATTCAAGTCATAAACTAGATCGAACACTTTTATACTCCCTCCGTTTCAAAATATAAGGCATTTTGGAGAAACTTTTTGTTTCACAATATAAGTCGTTTTCAAGTTTCTATGCAAATTATATACTCCCTCCGTTTCATAATATAAGGCGTTTTGGATAAAGTATTTTGTTTCATAATTTAAGTCGTTTTCGAGTTTCAATGCAAATTATATATTATTTTAATATTTTATGATTATTTATATTATGCCGTCTCTTTTATGATGGCTAAACTTTTAAAAAGTAGATTTTCTTAATCTGCGTGCTTTTACCTAAAACGACTTATATTTTTAAACGGAGGGAGTATTATTTTAATATTTTATAATTATTTCTATTATGCAGTCTTTTTTATGATTGGCTGAACTTTTAAAAAGTAGATCTTCTTAATCGGCGTGCTTTTATCTAAAACGCCTTATATTTTAAAACGGAGAGAGTACAATATTAAGATTCTTTTAATAGAAAAAACAAATTGAAACATGAAAACAAATCACAAAAATTCTATTAGGCTTGTTGAAATACTCATAACTAGATACTGAAATTGAAACCGTATATCAGTATCTCTTACTTGTTATATGTTTGTTTGGCGCCATCGGCGACCGTGGTTGCGAAACGACGAGAGCCACCAAATTGGTTTCTAAACGGTCGCAATTGGCTCTATAAATTAAAAAGTTAATAGAAATGTTCAAAAATTATATTTGCATTTGAATAGACAAGAAAAAACAAAACAAAACTTACGGTGATTCTGAAAGCCATTTCGGTGAAAATAATCAGTTGAGGAGAGTTAAGAAGCTGGAAGAGAAAAATCCGATTATGTTAAAACCAAACAAAATAGAGAAAGATTGATTATATACACATTGAGGATGAGACTATTTAGGATCTTTGTAACTACGAATGGAGAAAATTTCAAATGGCATCTTATATTTAGTCATACAGAAATTAAACCTTATCCATTGATTGAATTTTTCCTTTTTTTTTTTTTTAAGTACCAAAGGCTAATAATGTTTAAACACCAAAAAAAGAAGAATAATTTTCGTCCTCTCGAGAAAATTGGGAGCTAGAGAAAAGTGTCATTGCATTACATTTTCTAATAACTATCTGAATTCTACTTTAATTTGTTGCATTTTCTAGTTTTTAAAATTAATAAATTAATCAAAACTTTTAAATTTATTCGGTGATACACTAGATTTGTTAGACATCTATATGATATTATTGTTTAAAGAAACTATCAATGTTTATTATATCCCTTATATATTTATTACGTCTCATAAAAAACATTATGAGATGATACATCTGATGAGTAAAGTATTTAAGTAATAAGACAAAAGCATACTAGGAGCGAAACAACAATCATTTGCTCTTTAGTAATTTAGACATATATATCATCGCTTTCCTTCTTCTTGTTGCATATCTTCGAGCATTTTTTGATGCATGACTCAAACTTTTCCTCATGGCCTGTTCTCATCGCTAATTCCCAAAAGAAAAAGAAAAAAAAACACATTTTAGTTAGATCCTAAAAATTTATAGGTTCTTTTAGTTTTTGATATCAAATAGACAAAAATAAACATAAGTAATATTCAGTTTTCGTGTTTGAAAATATAATTTGTTAGATTCAAAACAACAACATGTAATATCAATGGTTTACTACAAAAACATACGTATGAGCCAAACATTTAAACTGTTCAACTAATAAGAAAAAGTTATTTGCAAAGGATTAAGCTAATCTATACATAGATCAATCCTTAGTTAATAATACGAAGAAGATCCAAACTTACTTGAGCTTTTGCCATGGTGAAAGCACTTCTCAAAAGAACAACCAATCATGCAATATGATGATAATTTTCCTTTTGATTTTGGTGAATGAGAAGGAGATTTTGAAGAAAGATCAAAATCTAGTAGTGAAGAAAGATCAAAATCTAGTGAAGAAGAAGGAGAATCAGACTCTGGTGTAGGAGAAGGAGATTTTGAATCAATATTATCAAAATCTGCTGAAGGAGAAGGAGAAGGAGAAGGAGAAGGAGAAGGAGAATGATGATGATGATGATGATGACGATGTGCCTGAACCAAAATGTTCTCCATTCCCATTGTTACCATCATCACCACCATTAACAAGGCTACACTCTTTGTGTTCATCATTTTTTTTTCTTTTCTCAGAGACTTATCAAAACTAATTAAACAAGTTTTTTTTGTGAATGTTGATGTTGATTGCTTGGTCGGTTATGTGTATTTATATAGGAAGATGTGTGTGTAAGTTTGTATAGAAGGTGATAAGAATTATTAAGGTAAAATGTCACCTATAGAATAAAATTTAGGTGATATTCCACATAATAGAATGATATTCTCGTAGATATGGTTTACTATTATCTATGTTTAATTATAATTATTTATTATAATAATTTGGGAAGTATATATTATGATTTTTATTTGCAAGAGAAGTTACTCAATCATGTAGCTTTAATAATTTATAGATATTCCTCAAAATAACATGAATTTGAGTTGTTGTATGAACATAAAATAAAATTCTTAAATTTTTAGATTTTACATTTCTAAAAGAATTAGAAAATCAATATTTAATTAATTGTAGTGTGATTATTGGTAGATATTATGATTTTATTTGCAAGATGAGTTATACAATCATGTATTTAGAATATATTATTAAATTCTCTAGAGATTTTTTTTCAAAATAGCATAAAATTAGTTAATTTTTTTCTGAACCTAACATATAATTCTTAAATATCTAGTTTTCACAATTTCATACAGTTGAAAATAATTCAAGCTTTATTAATTGTTGTGTAATAGCGAGCACGAATTCTGATTGTAATTGTAAGCTGGGTTATTTGACTTATTTCAATCATAACTTTCACAAATTCTAGAGATACATATTCTTCTACATAGACTTGTATTTAATCTAAACATAAACATTAAATAACATTGATTTAAATAAGGTGTTATGGCCTATATATGATTATAAATGATAGTTTCACTCTAACGTTGTTAAATTTAATGTTTTTTTTTTTTGTTACCACAAAAATTTTTCGTATATTATTCGTTTTTTTTTGGATGGACAAAACCTCTTTCCATAAAAAAGAATTAGTCTAGAACCAAGTTGCTAACATAGAAAAACAAAGATTTTGGTGCCCTTACTCTTTTAGTAAGACAATCAGCACAAAACATTATTACAATGTGTTGTTAAAACAATAGAAAAATTATAAGAAAATCGCAACTTGAAAACTCCTCCTAGCTAGCTCTTAGAAATCATTGGATATATAATCGGCATGATTTCCTAACATTTTCAATAGTTTTGAGCAATCTGACCACATAAAATGTCATTGCTCTCTAGTCATAAGAGGGCGTAGAATTTTGGTGTGTAAAAGGGATAAACATCTATGTGACCCCTTCATATAAACCTGACAAGTCGATCTCTTCTAAAACTAGTCATGCTACACCACTAATAGGATTTTCAACTTGCCATGAATAAGCTACTAAACAACAAATCCTTAACGTACGAGATGTCATTACGTAAAATATGGGCTGCTTCTTTGGGTGTCGTCGCTTGTTATAATCTTTCTTCCGGTAAAAAATCAAAAACTAACTTATTCCACGTTTACACAATACCATCCAAAGGTAAATTTGATAATTGGTCCTTTTCGTTCAGTTTTCAAAAGAGATAATCAAAGTTATTATTGAGCAAAAAACTAATTAAAGTTATTAAATTTTATCAAAAAAAAAAATCAAAATTATTAAAATATGGAGGTTCTCCTGTATCTTTTCGAAATAAGATTTATATTTACTTCATTAAATTGTGTTGTTGTAATTAATGAAATTTTGATATAAGAAATACATGAAAAAGTGATCTTTATTATAAGAAAGTTTGTAATATCTTTATCTCATGTATTTCCTATTTCATGTATTTTTGAAAATTGTTATCCTAAATAGATTTGATTTTGACATACATTAGTCTCCTTTTTTGGGTACGAGGATAAATAAGATCGAGCTACATAAGTCGGTGTAACGTTATTAATCAGTAATAGATAAAAATATTGAGGGTATTATTGTAGTTTCACACAAACCTCGTCAACAAGATCGAAACCAAACCCACACGAACTACAAAAGACCCCATCAGAGATTCGGATTCAGATGTCCGAACTGTAAAAGTTTTTCAAGAATGAAGCAATTTTGGTAAAACAGTTTGGACGCCATTCCCATTTAAACGATGGGAAGGGATAACAGGCCGATAATCCATTATTCCTTGCGTATCCTCGCTAAATCCATAAGTTGAGTCTGCAAGGTATAGACAAAATAATATATTTTAGTGGACAAATCTGGATAATGAATGGACAACGACATTGATATAATTTGGTTAAATCTCTGGACAACTGCAAACGGACAAATAAATATCAAAGCCAAGAGTTACCTTCTACTTCGATATGTAAATCGTGGACGAAAATAATGTTGAGAGATAGAGAGATATGGGGTGAACGACGGAGTGAGAGAAGAGATTAAGGTTTAGAATGGATGTTGGAGACAAAGCGATCTAATTTGTCAACACTTTAGTCTATTCTATTTTTGGGGCGGATTAGTGTATCAAGAGGGTGATTGGATGAGGCTTTTAATACTTTAAAAAGTTTCTAAAAGTTTTAAAATTATTTTTTTCCAATAAGCCTTTTTGACTTTAATAAATTTTGAAACCTTTAAAGTCTCTTTTTTATTTTTTACTCTTTGGTTTTAAATTTTTTTTACAGTCACACTTTAGAAATAAATAAATTAAAAGCTTATAATTTTTTACTTTTTATTTTTCTCAAATATATGTAAACTCTTATAACATTCACAAATAAATTAATTTTTGAAAAATTTCAGTTGATTTATAATTAAAAAAAAAATCTTGTTCTTTTAAGATCTATTTTTCCACATATTTAGTAGTTATCAAAAATCGTAATTTTTACAGTCTAAGTTATAACCAATCGGTTATAAAATTTATATAGTCAAAGTCAGGGCCGGCTCAACAAATTATTGGACCCTGTGCTATGCTGCAAATTTTTTTACGTAATGGTCTAAATATTTAACATTTTAAAAACTAGACCTTTAATTGCAAATATTTGAAAATTTTGGACCCTAAAATACAAAGAAAAAAAGAAAAAAAAAATGTGGGACCCGGTGCACACCCCGCACATCCCAAGAGCCGGGCCTGGTCAAAGTCTTTATAGCAAAAGTTTCTACACTGAAAGTTTTTACAGTCAAAATCTCTACAGCGAGAATTAACAGTCGTTACCAATCGGTCTTCAGTTTATTTGTATATAAAAGCTGTTCATAGTTAGTTCTCGGTAGATTTCTTAAATTTTCTTTAGACCGTATCACTAGAGACTATCATTTATAAATGATAAATAAAAAATGTGTAATCTATACACGGATTTATTCGTCCCAACCACCGTATCCATTTTGAACCTTAAGTTAAAATGAAGGGTGTAAAACGACGGATGAATTAATCAGGTTTGGTCTTTTTACAATTGGTACATAATACTATTATTAATAAAATTATTGATCTGTAATTTGAGTTTTCTCGAATTCGTAATGCAAGTCTGGCAGAATTAAATGCTCAACAGAGCAGTTAAATCGTCGTTCTCTGCACGCAATATCGAAGGCATTTTCTGGCTTTCTTACTTGAAGAAATGGCCTTGCGTAAAACGAAAGTTGAGATCTGTTATTAATCAGTACTCCAATATAGTGAGGGTATTATCGTAACTTCACATACGACCTCGTCAACAAGATCGAAACCAAACCCACACGAACTACAAAAGGACCCCATCAGAGATTCTATTCAGA